ACAGGAAGGCCTGGCGCAATACGGTTCATGGGGTCACGAAGAGTCGGACACGACTTAACGACTGAACAACAACAGGATTCATACAAAGCAGGGAAAGAGTCAGTTTACCTTGGGGCAGGGGCAAGCCATTCCATAACAATGAAGCTACAACAGAGAAAGACTGCCTTCAGACTCTGGTTCTCTTAGCCTCAACTGGGGTGGGAAACCAAAGCAGATAGTCTCTCATAGACTAAACAGGAAGCAGACAGATTTTATTTGAAGGAGATGGTCTCCAAAGTAACAGGAAGCCAAGCTATGTAAAGCTTTATAGATATGCACAAAAACTTTGGATTCCACACAGACACCTACAGGCAGCCAACACAGCACCCACAAGATTGGTGTTAGTTTGCTACAGCAACTCTCACCCATCAACACTCAGCAGCTGTATTCTCTACCAACTGTAATTTCTGGGTGGTCTTCAAAGGCAATCTCAAGTTATATTATGGTGGTGTAATCAAGAGGTGATGAGGGCATGAGTCACAATTACAATGAAAGAAACCTTAACCATCTGCATTTGCTTTTAGGTAACTCTTGGCCCAAATATTGTAGTTTTCAGCAAAAAGATCTTCAAAATAATACTCTTAGCTGTAAATGGAATATGTCTCCATTGAAATCCTAACTCAGCATCAGAATGAAATAGCAGCAGCAGCAGCAGCTCTGCAACCAACCTCTTGCTAATTTGGTTTTCTAAATTGTGGAAAAACTTGAAGTACTAATATAATTGCATAGCACCTTCACAAGTTTAATAGTACAATTTTATTTATGTCAGAATAGTATACATTCCCATTATATTCAACAGGGCTTATTAATCAGGTAAACTTAAGTTACTTGCACAAAGCTAAATTCAACATTTGCAACTGAGGGGTCATCACCAATTTAGATACCTTTAAGAGAAATCAGAGAGACTAATAACATCTGTTAGTATGAAGGTATTATGCCTTTCAAACTTCATTGCTGAAAAATATGAGTGGGAAACATTACTGTTGCATCAGTGTCCCACTTATAGACTATTTATTTAAATTTGGTTGGTCTCTATGGGAATAAAATGCTGGACTTGTTAGGCCTTTGGTCAAATTCAGCATGATCCTTCTTAGAAACATGAGAACACATATACCATTCAAATTAATGAGACCAAAGTCAAGACCAACTCTTCAAAATCATTTCACAGATTCAAGCACTAATAATTTCATTTGTGTATAACCTATTATGCAACACATATAGTACGTAATATGTTATAAACTCTCCTCTGAATAAATAAGAATTTGTAAAATAATATTACCTTGTAAATAGGACAGAACTTCTGTTTTTGTTTTAAAAGAAGAATGTCTACATTAGGAATAAGCCTTATTTAATTATTTAAGAACATTCATATGGCTGCTCAACTTGACCAAAGTCACACTGGGCAGCTTACAAACAATTCAACAGAATCTAACAAAAAGAAAACAAACCATAATACATAAGCCAATAAACAATAAATAAAATGGCAATCCAAACAGAAATGTCACCATGATATTAGTATCCTTAGTAGCCTAAAGATGTCTCCCTTAGGGTCACATTCTTTATCAAGTAACAGAAAGGCCTTTTTAATGACAAAAGTGACAGCAGCTGATTTTGAGGCAGTGTTTCAAGGACCTTTAGATGACTTGAAATAGTAATTCCTACTAAGCCCACTTTTGTTTGTAATCGCCTTTTCTACTGGGCCAAATAAACAAGTAGCAAAGTGCTTCTCTAAGGGTTGAAGTTGCAGCTTTTAAGTGTGAAGCCACAGTAGAGGCCTGAAACTGTTCCCTCCCCCCTCCAAATAGCAATTTGGGGGCATTATTCAAGAGATTAAAAGATGGAATGAGAGTTGTTTGCCTCCAAGCGGCCTCCTACTTCAATTTTCATCCATAAAATATATTTGAAAAACAAACATAAAAGGGGCATGCAAATTGTCAAGTTCACCCCATTTGCTTTCCGATCCTCATGCAGCCCCGTGAAAGGTCAGGAAGCTGAGTTGTAGTCCGAGTCCTCAATTGTTCCTCCTCTAAAATATTTATGCTATGTCCCATGAATCTAACCAGGTTCTAGTACCTATATTTCATGCTACTGCTCTCATGCTACTGATGGAGAACGTTTCTTGACCTTAATCAAAATTTTCCAATCTGGCACATTATTTTTGTTTTGAATAGGTCATATATTCAGATGCATTCCATTTTTAAACACTGATCTTCTATAGCCCATCAGGAATATACCCTGCTCCCTTTTCCATTCCTGATTTGTTGGTTCTGGTGCCTTCCAATCCATCATGAGAAACAATTTCTCTCAATTACTTTTAAAACAAAGGAAACATACAGGCTCCTACATCATCCTATGTGGACGTATCCTGGAGTACCTCATCACAGTATGGAGAGATAGTGAACCAACTAAAAGACAGTTTTTCAGCTCACTGGCACAAGGCTTTGCAAATGCATTACATTCATTTTGTGCAATTTGCTTTTCCTTCCCACATGGAGTTGGTGCATGGAAAAGACTGTTAAGTACTAAATTATTTCTGATCAAATCACCATCAACTGGAGTCATGATCAACCCTAATTAAATAACTTTCTCTGAACATGACTTCTGCCAGTTGCTTCTGCTGCAAGGTATACTTTCTTTTGTTTCTGTTACAGGGCTAGCAAGGTCCAGAGTGCAGAGCTAAGAGGCTAATATGCTGGAGTTTTAATTAAAAGTACATGCCATCTTCTTCAGAGTCTCCCAGACATCGTGTCTCAGGCCAGAGAGGCTAACACCTTAATGTCATCAGGGTACGTCTCATACTTAGCACCTAAGTTTTATTTCTGTACCTGGTCAACATCAATCAGTGCTCTGGGGATCAGGTGCTTGGTGGGGACCAAATGTTCAATGATCGGCGGAAAAAATAGGTGAGGATTGGTTCAGCTTTTGGTTCACACTTTTTGTGTCTGAGGGCCACAGGTTGCCCATCCTTTTCTTTTGGAAACATTATTAAAAGAGATGGAGACAGCATCTCTCATCAGCATATAAACAGGAACAATAAACAAAAACAACCAATTTAGTATGAGATTACCCTGCTATCTGCTTCA